TCCCAGACTTCAGTACTCTGAGAATGGGTAGAAGGTGGGAGCCAGGGGCTTTCCCTCACTGAGCACCAGCTTACCAAAAACTCCCTTGTTTGCCAGCTGAGATTGGGGTGAGAGGCATGAAATGACCCGAAAACCCAGTTAAGGAGAGCTCTGGGCCAGTCACCACTGAAGTGACCACGTCAACAGGACTGCCAAGACAATCAGCAGATGTTCAAATTTCCCTCACCAGTGGGAGGAAGGTGCTGGTGACCCACAGGGCCTTCAAGATGAGAAGGCACAGACAGAGCATGCCTGGGTGTGGAAAGATATTTTAACTTAAAATGATTCAGCCACTACATGTGACTTACTTTTTAAAAACTTATGGCTCATCAGTATTTTATTTTAAGAATCTTGTATGGAATAATGCAATAAAAAATAATTCTGAGCCAAGAGATTGCTCAGGGGTTAAAAGCACTTGCTGTTCTTCCAGAAAACCCAGCACCCACATGGCAGTTAACAACCACTTGAAACTCCAGTTCCAGGGGATCTGACACCCTCTTCTGGTCTCTGAGGGCACTGCATATAAGTAGTACACTTACATACATGCAGGCAAACACATTAGTGTAAAATAATAAGACAACGCAATTCCAACATGAGAAATAGAACAACACTAAGCCCCAACACTAAGGAGCAGGTTGGGTCAAGAAGCATGGTGGAGGTATTGGACTCTGCAACAGAGCTGCTGGACAGCGAGGGGCAGGGGATCCTGTAGATTCCATCCCCCAAGAGCGCTGGGGCATTCTAGAGCTTAAGAACAAGGTGGTCTCAAGAGGACGCTGGCCTGGCACTTCATCGGTAAGGTGAAAAAAGCTCAGTATTATGAACCAGCTTCCATCCCATCCTGTGCCTCCTGTGTCTAGAGAGAGCTGGTCTGTGACAGCCTCAACAAGCCTTCCTTGACCATGACTTTGAAAGGCAAAGCTCTGAGACCTGCTTTTCCTCAGAGTAGCAGTTGGTGACACTGGGTGCCACATGAGGCAGGTCCCTCTGAAGACCTTTCCGCCTCCACATGTAGGTATTAATTCTCCAGCTCAGACAGCTGCCAAAACTTCCCCAGGAAACCCGAACCCTGATACATTCACCATGTTAAATTTTATGGGTGTACTTTTAGTAAAAGATAAAGTGAACTGAGCTTTGAAAATGTATAAATTTTAGATGGGCATGGTGGTATACGCCTTTAATCCCAGCAATCTGGAGGCAGAGTGTGCTGGATAGTTTTAGTGTCAACCTGATACACATGGGTTGAGGGAACCTCAAGTGGGGAATTGCCTCCATAGGACTGGCCTGTGGCCATGTCTGTGGGGCATCTTCTTGATTGCTGAGTGATGTGGGAAGGCCCAGCCCACTGTGGATGGTGCCACCCCTGGGCAGGTGGGCCTGTGTTGCATAAGAAAGCAGGCTAAGCAGGGACCAGGGGAGCAGGACATTAAGCAGAGTTCCTCCATGGCCTGTACTCCAGCTCCTGCCTCCAGGTTCCTGACCTGAGTTCCTACTTTGGGCTCCCTGATGAACTGTGACCTGCGAGATATATGCCTAATAAACCCTTTCCTCCCCAAGTTGGTATTGGTCAGAGTATTCTGTCACAGTAATGAAGAGTCAACCAGGACACAGAGGCAGGCAGATCTCTGTGAGTTCGAGGCCAGCCTGGTCTCCATAGCAAATCAGGCCAGTTGTGGCTACAGGGAGACCCTGTCTCAAAAAGAACCCCCAAAAGTATAAATTTTATAGCTGGGCATGATGGCGCACACCTTTAGTCCCAGCACTTGGGAGGCAGAGGCAGGTGGATCTCTGTAACAGATCTCTGTGAGATAGAGGCTAGCCTGTTCTACATAGAGAGTTCCAAGCCAGCCAGGGTTACACAGTGAGACTTTGTCTTAAAAAAAAAAAAAAGTATAAATTTATAAGTGTGCAACACAGAATGGGATTCTTAGGGCTTCTGCAGCACCATAGGAAGGAAGGTGGAAACAGGCAAATGGGTATAACAGAATCAGCTTCCTGCAAGGTGAAATGCTAGCTCTCCTTGTCCCCTAAACCCCCTTGTAAGAGTTACAAAGGAAACAGTGATGCTGATTCCTGTTTGTTGGCACTTTCAAGGTTTGGCTTGAAAGTTTCAAGGATTTGTTAGTTACGAGTGTATACATATGTAATTCAAAGTAGATTTCTTTTCAGTTGTCCTCTGACAAATACTTGCCAGTCCTTCAAATTAATGTTTGAAAATGCACACTGCAACTGGCTAGGGCAGAAGGGGAGGAGAGAGAGCTTGGAGGTGGCCTGGGGTTGATGGAAAAGTGTCAAACTCCTGCACAAACCTCCAATACAGCAACTATCTAGGTAACGTCAGCCTTATCCTAAAGACAATACTGATATTACTTCAGCAAATAGCTGAACAAAAACAAAACAACTTCTTTGAAGTAGAATTCGGTAAATTTCACAGGTGTTCATCTGTGACCATATAAAACCCGCTGTAAACCCTGTTGACACAAGGTCATGAAAGACACCCTCCAACTTAAAAGCAAGGAGGGGCCCAAGCACATGGCGCCCTCTACAGGGCACAATCTGTCATGTTCCCCCATAGTGGAGACCCAAGGTTTCCTAAAGTCACACCTAGTTTCCTTGGAGACTCAAAGAGCATCCAGAAGCTGTTCAGCAGGTGCATAAAAACCAACCAGGAGTCCCACCTACAGCCAACGGAAACCGGCACAGCCTGCCAGCCACAGAAAGTAGCTTTACCCAAGTCAAGAAGCTAGAAAAGGGCCCCGGAGAAGGGAGAAGGGAAGAGGCCTTGGACGGGGATAGAAAGTATGGGGAAAACACTTAGGGTTTACAGGTTTAAGTGGGATGGGGGTAGGAAATGAGGAAACTAAGGATCTCTCTCTTTTTTTTTTGATTTTTTGGTCTTTTTGAAGCAGGCTCTTCCTGTAGCCCCAGCTGTCCTAGAACTCACTGTGTAGACCAAGCTGGTCTTGAACTCACAGAGATCTTCCTGCCTCTGCCTCCCAAGTGCTGGGACTACAGGCATGCGCCACCACGCCTACCAAAGGATCTCTCTTTTATAAAAGCTTTATGGAAACCTACAACTTTGTAAGCTAATTTAAAATTTTATTTTTTAAAAAGGGAGTTTGAATAGTGTTACCCTCAATGGGTAGACAACACTGCTCCCAAAAGACATAGATTATTAAATGAAAATCCCAGTGCCAGGTATGGGGTAGAGCCCTAGGAGTTGCTGGTCAGGAAGGCCCCAGAGGCCCCAGACAACATATGCTATTGCCATTGCTCCTGGTTGCCAGCCATAACTAGATGGTAACCCACATTGCTGGAGACACCACACACTTAGACTGCAGGACATACGGAAATCAAGCTAGAACTTGATTCTAACTGGGAAACTTCTTCCCTCCTGGGTAGCTTTCATAGTACTGGAAGGTCCTATCTAGGTAGGTAGGGGAGAAAAGTCATCAATAATCCTACCCAGTGAGGAACTCTGCATACCACAATACCAATATGCTAGGCAAGCTGTGCCCACTGGTGCAATAATGGCATGACTTAAGGAGGTAACCAAGTGCTTTCTGATTGGGTTTTAAGCCTGCTCCATTGGCGGGAATTCATGCTTGGGACTATAAACCTGGTCAGAGCCCATGGCTGTGGAAGTCATGGGCTTTAGGGGGTACCTACTACTGTTGTGTTGCTAAATGGATGCTATCAAATTGCCTTCTAAATATTTATGCTTATACCTATAGGTGAATGTTGCTCTCAATCTTGGCCAGAGAAGGTTTTTTTCTGTAGTGGGCAGCAGTCAAGGCAGAGACTGATAACTGGTCAGAGTGCTGAGAATAAGTGACTGTTGAGTGCTCAGCTCTAAGTGGGACATCTATATCACCACCACCACCCCCCAAGCCCTAGAATCAGGGAACACAGCAGAAGAGGGTATGGGAAAAATATAAGAGCCCAAGAATGGGGAGGTGTGCTGTGAGGTGCTGCCTTCCGGATACAACACGGCTGTTATACTCATGAACTCATAGCAGCTGTGGTTACCTGCATGAGACTTGCACAAGACTGGGCCTGTCACAGTCCAGCAGGAATGAGGGAGGGGCTCACAAGGCCTAGCTGGGAATCTATAGGTGGCTAAGTGGTGCTGGGGGGAGGGGTAGTCATTTTTCTTCAGGACTCAATGGGTTATAACTTTTTTAAAAAGAAAGGGAGATAGACAGCCTGGCCAGTCAAAAAATAAAATTTACCTTGCTACTTTTCTTTAAAAAAAAAGGGGGGGGGGAGGACATGGAGGCAGAGAGAGATGTGTTGGGGATCTAGGGGAGTGGAAGGAGAGAGCTGGGAGTGGGTACGATCAAGATAGATCATAAATTTTAAAGTAACAAACAGAGGGAAAAAAGGGGGAAAGAGAGAAAAGAAGTTACCTTTACCTAGGTCCATGATTCTTAAATGAGAAAGGCGAGCTTGCTCAGATAATCAACAGTTTAAATTTGAGAAACAACAAATACGCACCATTTTATGAATAAATCTAAACAAGCGGGTGAAAGGTGAAAGATTGTTTTGAAAAAGTATTAATTTGAATCAAAGGCCCTCAAATCATATAGAAACTTTTCTTTTTAGAAAAATAATAAATTTAGTTCTCATCCATCAATTCCAGAAATGATGGTTGGCTCAGAAGATATTCTGTCATTGCACTTGGCCCTATACAGTCAAAACAGGAAAAAACCCCAAACCCCTTCTTCCACACTTAGCACCACTGATTGTGATAATCCCTAGAGACCGGTTGTTATAATAGTATCATTCAGAATGGTGTGAATGTGGCTTTGTCTCCCTTGTGTTGCTCTGGGGACATTGCAAAGCAGTAAGAAGGTTTTACCCTGAGCTGCTGACTAGATGATTTCATGAGTTACAGTCTCATGATTTCTGGGGAGGGTGAGCACTTCACAAGGAATCTGACTTCACACATGTTCACTCACCTTTTGTCCCTTCACACCATGACAGTCACATTTTCCACAGCCGGAGCCACCACAATCACCCTGTAAGAAAGAAAAAGAAAAAAAATGTTTAAATAGGAGGTCACTTTCAAATTAAGGTCAATATTTGATTTAAAGGCTGGTGAGATGGCTCAGCAGTAAAGGTGTTTGCTGCCAAGCCTGACAACCTGAGTTCAATCCCTGGGATCCACATGGCACATGGTAGAAAGATAGAATGAACTCTTGCAAATTGTCCTCTGATCTCCACCCAGTTAACACACACACACACACACACACAAAATATAATCTTTAAAAAATATTTGAATTGGGCTGGAGAGTTGGTTTAATGGTTAAGAGCACTGGCTGCTTTTACAGAGGACCCGGGTTTGATTCCCAGCAGCTACATGGCAGTTAACAACTGTCCATAACTCCATTTCCAGGAAAATCTGATGCCCTCTTCTGACCTCTGCCAGCATTGCACAACACAGGTACACTTACAAATATGCAGTCAATACACTCATACATATAAAAATAATAAAATATTTTTTAAAATATTTGAATTGTTCTGACTTTAGCTTCTTTATCCAGTGATAAGACAAGTCCTGCCTGTCACCTGCAGGTGACTTATGGAGTGTCACACATGCCTACAGAGGAATCTTTCAGGTATAGAGGACACAGCCTTGCTTTGTCAATGAAGCATGTCAGTCTACCGGTTGTGCTTGGTCAATTTCTGTTGGACTTGAACACACCTAGGGATTATGTGAACCATGTTGCCAAATCAATAAAATGCCCTTCTCTCTGATACCCAAAGCCATAAGAAAGCAAGGTCTCCCTAAGATAGAACCCTTTTGATCCTTGTGTCTCCTGGACTTAGAAACAGGCAAAGAACTACAGAAAAAAATAAGTGAGTGAGTTGGTTTTTAAGCCTAAATCTTAAAGAACTGAGTTTCTAAATTCCATTAAAGCTTAGATGTTCATTTACAGAACACTCAACAACAAAAGGGATTTGTTGTTTACTACTAACATACGAACATGTGCTTTCAAATACAAGGGAATCCGAAAAGCAGCAGCACTGGAAAAGAGCTTTAACCTGTTCAAATGCCCCACAGGCAGGCAACAATCACCTCCCCCAAAGAGGAAGTTCAACATAAAAAGATTAAGACAAGGTTGAAATTAGAATTCAACCCCACTTGCATTATGTATGTAAAGCAGCCAACACAAAATAAGATAAACACAGGACAGAACAACACACTTTTGCAATGTCCCTGACAGAGTCCAAGTTTTAAACCAATATAGACAATTACAAAGAGGGAAAAAAATAAAGGGATATAGAGAGAACCATTTAGTCAGCTTTATTAGAGGCTCTGTCTCACATCTGAAATAAAATTTAGACCCATACTCTGCTTCAGGTGGTAGAAGTTTCTTGAAAATAAAATTCTGCTATTAATAGTACTTTGCTCATGTGAAGCCTATATTTTTAACAGCATACTCCAGGCTGCGTGAGTCACCATGGAGATGCTCTGTAGAAAACAACTCCATCTGGACACAATTATTTTATGAGTTAAATCTGAACAAGTGCCTCCAAGACAGTAAGTAAGCTGTTCTTAATTTTATATTTTAGAGACGGGAACAATTGACAAGGGTCCAAGCAAAGCCCAGCGGTCAGATCTGTTCCTCTCTCTGACTCACATTCAAGTCAGCCATCACAGTGTGTGCTCTCAACCCTCTTGACATTTCAAATTTCTCCATGTGCTCTGCCTGCTACAGAATGAGAGTTTCAGTGACCATCTGGGACATCCAGAGATGAGGCCAAAGTCCGTCTAAGCTGCCCAAGGATCATTCAAAGCACACAGAGAGGAACACTGAGAAACAGTAGACATGCCCTATTAACTGCTCCCACCTCTGACCACCTGGTCCCATGACATGTTGACTTAGTGTTCATCGGTTCTCAGAGTTCTTTACTTATGTCTCTTGGGATATCCTGGGTTTTTCAACCCCACCCCAGAGCTTAACACAGAGCCTGATTTAGGCTGTGTTTCATTAAACACTACATGGGTAGTTAAAGCCCACAGTAAGAAAGAATGGTACTAATTAACCAGTAGCATGTCACCCATGATTGGTTCTATTCTAGCTTCAGTGTCATTAATACACACGGAACTGGGCATCTTAGAACTGATGGAACAGAGCAGGTATTTGCTTCCTGTTGTTTAGCTGTTTGTTATGCTGTTCATTTCATCTGCATTAAGTGACAACTACAGGTATTATCCAGCAACAGTTGTGAAGACAACCCATAGTGCTAGTGTGCACAGTGCCACTGGGGGAGATGCTCCCAGAGGGACCTAGCAAAGCCTGTGTGGATGATCTAGGTCACTCAGGCAGCCAGGGGGCTGTGGACAAGCTAGGACACTGGAGCAGGCTGGCAAATGCTCATGTGAGCCACCAGCTAATACCCAGTCAATGACCAGGCAGGTTACTGCCCAGACCTGAAAAGCCCAGGAGGGGAGGCAACTGCCAAGTCCCTCTAGGATAGCAGGCCAGCCTCTTCACTGGGATACGCTGTTCCCCACAGCATCTGCTTTGGAGCAGGAGCAGACATTCACCCCCTCTCCTTAAATTCTGCTAAGTCTTATCCCTTCTTCACTGATGTCACCCAGTGAAAGGAAGAGACTCAGTGACCTGCAGAGTCCATGGGGGAAACAGCCAGTTACCCAGACTAAGTAGAAACTCAACAATAGCCTAAGCTAACTCAGATTTTCTACTTCAAGGTCAAAGGCAAAGGACTGAACCGAAAGATGGCTATGTGGTGCACCTAGGCTTTTCTGTCTAAAATCTTGCTACCATCTAGGAAGCTCAACCCATTCAATCTGAAGGAGGTTTTAGAAATCAGTTTCCCACAGTGGTTCTCATTGCCATCCTTGGAGTCTCTAAACTCAGGGACCCCCCCACCCCCAATCCAGGCAAGGATTCTAGGCCACGGTAGAGAAGGCCAGGGTCAAAAGACTTCTTGAGCTTATTCCACAGGAGTCCTGTATGGACAACTAGTGGGCAGCCTGGCCTGGACATACTGCAAGTCCTAAGAAATACCCAAGAGAACCTGAGGTCAGAAACAAAGAGCTAGATCTATGCCCACCCTCTTCCCCCAGCAGCCAGGACTCCATTACACAAGAATATTAAAATCCCAGACCAAACACATCTATAGCTTTTCACACACACAAACAAAAAAAAGGTTTGGGAGTGAGGGGTTAAGAGAGGGCCTCACTATGTAAACCAGGCTGGTCTGGACCTCTCAATTCTTCTGCCTCAGCCTCCCCAGTGCTGAGGTTACAGGCATATACCACCACTGCAGAAAAATATGTCTTGAAGACTATGACTTTTGTGTTATATTCTGGGTGGCCTTGCATCTTATTTAAAGGACTTTATTAAAAACAACCAAGTTTAGAACAAACACAAATCATGTAACCCATGTTTACTTTGCTAAGTAGCATCTAGTTTCCAATATCATTCTTCTGATCCTTAATAATTTCCATTCTATAGTGGTTTTTACTGGATTTCACCATGACACAAGGAGGTGTTACCCGCTGCAACTCCAGGCTAGAACAAATACAAATGATGCCCTGATGTCCCTTTTCAATCAGCTCTGATGTTCACTTCTGAAACAACTAATTAAAATAAAACCCTTTGTTCACGCAAGCTGAAAGCTTTATCTATGTATTGTAACCTACCATGCTTGAAAGGGGCCCATGACCCTATGGGTTACACAAATTTACAGTTCATGGGGGAACCTCATATGTTAAAGGCTGTGTCACAAACTTCATGACTTCCTGAGGAATTACAATTTACATCTGGGCTCCTCAGTAAGATACACACAGTTTGTGAGCCCAGCAGTGCCCCTTTGGCTCCAGATCTGAGGAACTTTACAAGGCCTGCTCATTCTTCCCCACGTCTGCAGTAAGTCGGGGCCACATCCACCAGCTCCTGGCCCATCTGTTTCAGATTCTAGAATGGGAGGAACTGGTACATTCTGTGAAGTGCATGCTCTTTTCCTCTCCTAGGGTCAATTAGATTAGCTAAGTCCTATTCTTTCTTCCCATGAGATACTCCACCCCATGGTCAAGACAAGAAGAAGTCTGTCAGGAAGGCTGCCCGCTTGGGATCTTGGAATGTGGCCACACAATCTCAAAGGACAGGTCATGTGGGTCTTGGTCTCTCTCACAGAAGTTGGCCAACCACAGACAAGAAAGAGTGGATAACCTAGCTTGACAGGGAAAAGAACGCCTAATCAGAAGCACTATTAGTTACACCTCTCAAAGTGTAGGAAAGTTGAATGAAAACCAAATCAATTGTGAACGTTTTCTTTGCCCCTTTCTCCTAGATGAACCACAGAGCCTAGAAGAATATGAAGTTGCCACAAGTGGAAGCTGAACTCAGTTGTGTTTGAAACAGAGAAGAGGAGGAGGACATGGAGGAGGGAGAGGAGGAGGAGGAAGAGGGAGATGGAGAAAGAGGAGGTGGGGAGGAAGCATATTAATTCTGAGTGTTCCCTGTAATGGTTTGAGTTTGAAATGTCTCACATTGGCTCTGGTGTTAGAACTCTTGGTGCTCAGTTGGTGGTGCTGTTTTGGTAGGATGTGGAGCTCTTAGGAGGTAGAGCCTTAGTGAAGGAAGTAGGTTGCTAGAACCAGCCTTGAGGTTTAACCACCCAGCTCCACTTCTTATCCTCTCTGTTCCAGTTCCACCAGGAAGTGAGGGGAGGAGACCTACCTACACACTCCTACCAACATGACTTCCCCAGCCATGATAAACTGTGTCCCTTCAAACTGTGAGCCCAAAATAAACCCTTCCTCCCTTAAGTTGCTTCTTGTAAAGTTTTTGGTCACAGTAAAAAAAAAAAAGTAACTAATACACCCCACCCCCTTAAGATACACACACACACACACACACACACACACACACACACACACAACTTCAATAGCAGAGACCAATTTGAAACAAAAACAAAAAACAATAGGAAAGGAGTGCAAAAGGTCCTACAAAATAATCCCTAAACCAAATACCTTTTCTAC